AAGAGGCCACACCATTTTCTTTTTGAACGGTAGCGAGGTCCCAACAAGGTGGACAGCCAAAAGTCATCCATCCTGTCTCCTCTACCAATGCTCCTGCTCCTCCACTCCTGTCCGCTGATGGAAAAACCACCCATTTCACTCAATAATTCCTGAGCACCAATGTCCTCCTCTACCTCCTCCTCTTCTTCCTGTCCTGCCCCACAGGGGTCATGTGGCGTTGAGATCTGTGCGCCACGTCTACCGCACCCTGACCAGCCATTGTTAACAGCATTTGTTCCAGGACGTGCAACAGAGGAATGACGTCGTTCATCCCATAGTCCTGCCGACTCACGAATAGCGTGGCCTCCTCAAAGGGCCTGAGCAAGCGCAGGTGTCACGCATGAGCTGCCAATGGCTGACATCTAATTACGGGCCTGGCAGCAGCAATGGGAGGCCCGTAATCTGCCAGCACCCTATGACAAAAAATGTAACACACCAGCAGTGTGAGGAGACCTGAAAGTGGCACATGGCAGAGTGTGGCGATGGAGACAGCAGCAATGGGAGGGCCCGTACAGGGACCCATGAGAGACTCTGGACCTGGCAGCAGCATGAGGAGGCGGTATAGGGGCCCATGGCAGATTAGGGGCCTGGCAGCAGCTATGGGAGGCCCGTAATCTGCCAGCACCCTATGACAAAAAATGGAACACACCAGCAGTGTGAGGAGACCTGAAAGTGGCACATGGCATGAGTGTGGCGATGGAGACCTGGGAGGCAGCAGCATGAGGAGGCCGTACAGGGACCCATGGAGACTCTGGACCTGGCAGCAGCATACGGTACAGGGGCCCATGGCAGATTAGGGGCCTGGCAGCAGCTATGGGAGGCCCGTAATCTGCCAGCACCCTATGACAAAAAATGGAACACACCAGCAGTGTGTGAGGAGACCTGAAAGTGGCACATGGCAGAGTGTGGCGATGGAGACAGCAGCAATGGGAGGCCGTACAGGGACCCATGAGAGACTCTGGACCTGGCAGCAGCATGAGGAGGCGGTATAGGGGCCCATGGCAGATTAGGGGCCTGGCAGCAGCTATGGGAGGCCCGTAATCTGCCAGCACCCTATGACAAAAAATTGAACACACCAGCAGTGTGAGGAGACCTGAAAGTGGCACATGGCAGAGTGTGGCGATGGAGACAGCAGCAATGGGAGGCCGTACAGGGACCCATGAGAGACTCTGGACCTGGCAGCAGCATGAGGAGGCGGTACAGGGGCCCATGGCAGATTAGGGCCTGGCAGCAGCTATGGGAGGCCCGTAATCTGCCAGCACCCTATGACAAAAAATGGAACACACCAGCAGTGTGAGGAGACCTGAAAGTGGCACATGGCAGAGTGTGGCGATGGAGACAGCAGCAATGGGAGGCCGTACAGGGACCCATGAGAGACTCTGGACCTGGCAGCAGCATGAGGAGGCGGTATAGGGGCCCATGGCAGATTAGGGGCCTGGCAGCAGCTATGGGAGGCCCGTAATCTGCCAGCACCCTATGACAAAAAATGGAACACACCAGCAGTGTGTGAGGAGACCTGAAAGTGGCACATGGCAGAGTGTGGCGATGGAGACACAGCAGCAATGGGAGGCCGTACAGGGACCCATGAGAGACTCTGGACCTGGCAGCAGCATGAGGAGGCGGTACAGGGGCCCATGGCAGATTAGGGGCCTGGCAGCAGCTATGGGAGGCCCGTAATCTGCCAGCACCCTATGACAAAAAATGGAACACACCAGCAGTGTGAGGAGACCTGAAAGTGGCACATGGCAGAGTGTGGCGATGGAGACAGCAGCAATGGGAGGCCGTACAGGGACCCATGAGAGACTCTGGACCTGGCAGCAGCATGAGAGGCGGTACAGGGGCCCATGGCAGATTAGGGGCCTGGCAGCAGCTATGGGAGGCCCGTAATCTGCCAGCACCCTATGACAAAAAATTGAACACACCAGCAGTGTGAGGAGACCTGAAAGTGGCACATGGCAGAGTGTGGCGATGGAGACAGCAGCAATGGGAGGCCCGTACAGGGACCCATGAGAGACTCTGGACCTGGCAGCAGCATGAGGAGGCGGTATAGGGGCCCATGGCAGATTAGGGGCCTGGCAGCAGCTATGGGAGGCCCGTAATCTGCCAGCACCCTATGACAAAAAATGGAACACACCAGCAGTGTGAGGAGACCTGAAAGTGCACATGGCATGTGGCGATGGAGACAGCAGCAATGGGACCGTGGGACAGCATGAGCACTCTGGACCTGGCAGGAGCATGAGGAGGGCGGTACAGGGGCCCATGGCAGATTAGGGGCCTGGCAGCAGCTATGGGAGGCCCGTAATCTGCCAGCACCCTATGACAAAAAATTGGAACACACCAGCATGTGTGAGGAGACCTGAAAGTGGCACATGGCAGAGTGTGGCGATGGAGACAGCAGCAATGGGAGGCCGTACAGGGACCCATGAGAGACTCTGGACCTGGCAGCAGCATGAGGAGGCGGTATAGGGGCCCATGGCAGATTAGGGGCCTGGCAGCAGCTATGGGAGGCCCGTAATCTGCCAGCACCCTATGACAAAAAATTGGAACACACCAGCAGTGTGAGGAGACCTGAAAGTGGCACATGGCAGAGTGTGGCGATGGAGACAGCAGCAATGGGAGGCCGTACAGGGACCCATGAGAGACTCTGGACCTGGCAGCAGCATGAGGAGGCGGTATAGGGGCCCATGGCAGATTAGGGGCCTGGCAGCAGCAGCTATGGGAGGCCCGTAATCTGCCAGCACCCTATGACAAAAAATGGAACACACCAGCAGTGTGAGGAGACCTGAAAGTGGCACATGGCAGAGTGTGGCGATGGAGACAGCAGCAATGGGAGGCCGTACAGGGACCCATGAGAGACTCTGGACCTGGCAGCAGCATGAGGAGGCGGTATAGGGGCCCATGGCAGATTAGGGGCCTGGCAGCAGCTATGGGAGGCCCGTAATCTGCCAGCACCCTATGACAAAAAATGGAACACACACAGCAGTGTGAGGAGACCTGAAAGTGGCACATGGCAGGGGCATGATTCATGGCGGATTTAGTCAGTTGTGTCAGGAACTGGTGGTTTGAAATCCAGACTAATCCACGCCTGATTCATTTTCACAAACGTGAGTCTCTCCACACTTTGGGTGGACAGTCGTGTCCTCCGCGGAGTTACAATACCTCCTGCCGCACTAAACACGCGCTCCGATGCCACGCTACTGGCCGGGCATGACAGCCTTTCAAGGGCAAATTCAGCTAGTTGGGGCCAAAGGTCAAGTTTCGTTGCCCAGTAGTCAAGGGGATTGTCTACCTCGGTTGGCAGGGTGCTGTCCAAGTAGGCCCAAGCCTGTTGTTTGAGGTCCTGCTCCAGGTCCACCTGATGCTGCTGCTGCTGCGGCTGGTTAGTAGTTTCCTCACTGCGCTGGTGAAGAAAGCTACTCATCATCGACTGCAGACTGAGGCAGCCGCTGCTGGTGGAGCTACCACTGCTCCTACCACCCCACCCCTCCCCTGCTGCCATGGCAGCGGAACGCGAGCGCACAGGGCCCACAGTGTCTGAGGATGGACGTTGGCGCACAAAGGCAGAGACCAACTGACTACATAGGTGGTTTTTATAGTACGTTATTTTGGCCTCCCTCTCAGCAGGTGTGAAAAAGGCCACCATTTTTGAACGGTAGCGAGGGTCCAACAAGGTGGACAGCCAAAAGTCATCCCTCTGTCTGATGGTTATTATTCGGCTGTCGCTACGCAAGCAACCGAGCATGCTATGGGCCATTTGTGCCAAGGAATGCGAGGGACTCCCTGCCTCCATCTCCCACAGCATACTGCCACGGTGCGTCTGGGTCCTCTGTCTCCTCCTCCTCCTCCTCTACCAGATGCTCCTGCTCCTCCACTCCTGTCCGCTGAGTGGAAAAACCACCCATTTCACTCAATAATTCCTGAGCACAAATGTCCTCCTCTACCTCCTCCTCTTCTTCCTGTCCTGCCCCCACAGGGGTCATGTGGCGTTGAGATCTGTGCGCCACGTCTACCGCACCCTGACCAGCCATTGTTAACAGCATTTGTTCCAGGACGTGCAACAGAGGAATGACGTCGTTCATCCCATAGTCCTGCCGACTCACGAATAGCGTGGCCTCCTCAAAGGGCCTGAGCAAGCGGCAGGTGTCACGCATGAGCTGCCAATGGCTGACATCGAAGTTACACAGGGGAGTACCTTTATCCGCTTGTAACATCAGGAAATCGGTGATGGCCTTTCGCTGTTCGTAAAGGCGGTCTAACATGTGTAGGGTTGAATTCCACCTTGTTGCAACGTCGTCGCAGATCAGGCGATGCTGTGGAATTCCGTTCTGCCGCTGCAGCTCAAGGAGGGTGTGCTTTGCGGTGTAGGAATGGCTGAAATGCATGCAAAGTTTACGTGACATTTTAAGGATGTCTTGCAGTGGGATGGTGGATTTTAGGAACCGCTTGACAACCAGATTGAACACGTGAGCCATGCATGGCGCATGGCACAACCTTCCTTGACGCAGAGCAGACACCATGTTCTTTCCGTTGTCGGTCAACATGGTTCCGATTTTCAGTTTGCGCGGAGACAGCCATCTGTCGATTTCTCTGTTCATTACACTGAGAAGTTCCTCCCCTGTGTGACTACGTTCGCCAAGGCATACCAGGTGCAGCACAGCGTGACACCGTTGCGCCCTGCACATGTGATATGCCGGTCGGGTAATGGGACTTGGCACGGGGGTGGCGGCTGAGGACACGGCGGAAGAAGAGGTGGTAGAGGCGGACATCTTTTGTGGACCAAGGACGTGCAAACGTGAGGCAAAAGCGGCGTGACCTGTCCAAGTTGCTGGTGCGGCTGTGACGGCACCACGTTCACCCAGTGGGCCGTAAATGACATGTACTGTCCCTGACCGTAGTTACAGCTCCACACGTCGGCGCTGCCGTGCACTTTGGCAGAGACCGACATGCTCAAAGACTGGCCCACCATCTCTTCTACATGTGAATGCAGGGCTGGCACTGCCTTTTTGGCGAAGAAATGACGGCTTGGCACTCTCCACCGCGGCGCGGCACAAGCCATCATTTCTCGGAAAGGTGCTGAGTCCACCACTTGGAAAGGGAGGGACTGCAGCACCAGCAACTTGGACAGGAGGACGTTCAGCTTTTGCACCGTCGGGTGCGTGCTCGCAAACTGTTGTCTCTTGGAAACGGATTCCAAGAAAGACTGCTGACGGAATCCGTGAAGAGGAGTAGCAGGAGAAGGAGCATCTGAACGAGCGGAAGATGCCAACGAGCGACAACTCCCCTCAGCAGAGGTGTTGGAGCCTTGACTGGCTGATAGAGGGCGATTGACGTCGGGTGACGGAGCAAGTAACGGAGCGGGTGATGGAGCGGGGGCTGGGGCAGGCAGAACCGCCGTATCTTTATCACGGTTTTCCCAGGCCACCAAATGGCGACGCTGCATATGCTGCCGCAACGCTGTAGTCCCAACATGGGCCCCCTGGCCACGCTTGACTTTCTGGCCACATAGTCGACATACGGCTACGTTTACTTCCTCGGGCGGCTTGACAAAAAATTGCCACACCGCCGAGTAGGAAACTTTGCCCCCGATACTCCTCACTGGCTGACTGCTGCTGCAATAGCCTGATGACGACGAGGCTGCCAAGTGCGATCAGCCTCATCATCATCAATTAGGGTCTCCGCCTCACTACTAGCCCCCTCGGCTGCGTGTGGGTCAGGAGACAGACCTGTCTCTAGACCGGCTACCGAGCCACTCTCCTCGCCATAACTTCTTCGCCTGGCTGCTGAAGAGGCGGATGTCTCCCCTCCGTTCCTGACCCCGCCCTCAGTTAGCTCTCCTCACTGTACAGTGTCTGAAGCCCACAGCAATGCTATACTTACTCTTGGTGAGGAACACCAAGGACAGGGCAGTGTTATAGACACGTTGCTTACATTGGTCTTGCTCCGGCCATGCCACAACTACGGTTGTGTCTGACTTACCCCCGACCCGTTGGTCTTTTCTTGTCAGAGGTGACTGGGAAGAGGAAGACGACCAGAAGCCCACCAAACGATGACGGCCAGGGTTATGTCGGTGGAGACACGCACGCTGTATGACACCGGAGCACTGGCCTCTGG